CATTATGGGGCAAAGGGAGCAAGGGCTTCCCTCAGAATGGATTTTTGTGGAATAGGTACCTATCCGGGTATACGGTAGGTAGGCACATTCCATCTCGTGTAACCTTATTCTAAATACGGCTATTATTAGTGAGCTTATATTTATGTCACAAAAGTCGAATTCCCGGAGACAAGTAGGTAATTAATATTTTTATTCTATACAACGTTTAAGTTCTTTTACGATATGTTATTTTGGGAATGTTATACCTAGTACTAAATAGTGTGAATCACAATTAGCTGGTGGGATGTATTCTGTAGCTTTGTAATGATTAATAGTTTTATTCAAGGTATTGTTGGCAAGTATTCAGCTTCATCAAACAATAAAGATGTTTAGATTGCCTAGTTGGAAGTAATTGTTTTAGATCTCTTTTAGAAACAATGTCTTAAAAAGTTACGCGTTCGTTCGTCAAATCGATCTCACTGAAAAGTATTGTAGAAAATACAACGCATTTATCTAATTATGATAATTTGTGCACAAATAAAAATATTAGTTTGAAATATAACTTCATTCTGTGTTACGAATGAAACAGGCTATTGATTCCCTTTCATCTTCGAATAAACTTAAAACACATCACTGTATAAAATATTGTAATCATTTTAATATACATGAATATAGTCCACTAAAATAGTGGACTGCGATAGGCTGATGATGATGATGATGATGATGAATAAATGCGAATGATATGAGCCTTTTCATGAATATTAGCCATCTCATAGTACGAGATCGTTAGATGTAAGACTAAAACATTATAAAGAAATAATTTATCTTGGCGATATGAGATCACCATGAATGTCATAAATACTCATCACATACAGAAAACGAAAGCAACCGTGTGTCATTCATGTGTCGTTACATCACTAATACAAGATAAACTAAATCCCCTTAATCCGACATGCATTAAATAATTAATTTGCGAGGCAAAATGAACGACAGCAGATGTACAAACAAAAGCAATTTCGCTAAAATGTTCACGAGCAACTGTCGGCTTGTCCGAACATCTGAAATGGTCGCCGACAGATCCGACAATCTGACAACCCTCTAAAGCTATATAGGATATTGTGTATTATAAATAGGGATATTCAGTATCAGTATACACAGTAATGAAACCAATCAGGTATTCGGATATTAGATCTTTGGGATATTCGTTTGTTGTGATTTTATTTAGATTCTACTTCAATACGATTCAGATTAGTTTAGGTACGAACGAAACGAAGGGTGGTTAACTGTTTGAAAATTTAACCATTAACTTGTTATCTGGCTAAACACCAACATTGTGTGATGGACAAACCATTGTGTTGATTATTCACAGTGATACACAATTATGATGTTGTGTTTTTAAGAACGATAACAAAAAAAAAATAAACACAGGTAATTGAAACATTATGACAGAGTTAGGATATTTGATAGAGAAGATATTTATGAAAATAATTGTTACGAAATAGTGTTTTGAAATGAAGTAATAGTTACATTTATAAAAACGAAATTTAAAACAACATTTCTTCAGAGTATTACAAAAAAATTGCAATATAGCCAAATTTTTTTGGCAACATCATATTTAGTGAATGCAAGAAGTTGGATAATAATCTCATTTTTAAACTTTTTAATGTAACGAAAATAAATTACAGAATAATACATTATTGCAACTTTTCTGTTGACGTTAGTATCTGAAAATTAATATATCAGAACTTTACTGACATAATTGAAATTGCATGCAACACATGTTCCCGGATGTTGTTCTCTACAAACTAAAGCATCTAGTAGTTGGTGCTTAACCGTCCTATTGTTCGAAGGGGCATGTAAGACCAGCGTAACGGAAAATTAAAAAGGTAATTTTCTTAATGAGACCACTTGCAGTGTGGGGTTGACGGTTTATGTGATACCATAACGGATAATAGCTCTACACATGTTGAACATAAGCCATGTTTTCATTTAAAAGTGTGTCTCGATTAAGGTCAAGCTGACGAAGATGTTTACTAAGCTTAATCTCAGTCGCGTTGCTTCTTAATTTCTTTTTATTTTATAACACTATTTTCTTTAAAGTTAGAATTGAATCAGAAGGTAATTAAATTAATCATAATAAATGCGTAATACCTATGTTTGTTTGTTTAACATAATAACTGTGTTACACATAATTTGATGTAAATTTCTTGAGCTACGTTAGAAAAAAACCTTGGTTTATAGGATGAAGATGTATTCCGTTAAAAATACTGCTGACTTTCTTTTAAAGTAAAAGTCTTAAGAGAGAGACTTTGTAACAATTGGACATAGATTTTCTAAGTCTGCAAAAGCCTATGACAAACAACTCTATTAATGATAGCATCTATAATTCATATTACTCGGTTTATTTTATAGTTAAAATATATTGTTGTCTAACATTTAAATTTATTTTGACTTAGGACACCTCTTCGCTTTGCTTTATTCAGACCTCAACTTAATGTACCCGTTTATACAGCATCTGCTTATACTTCTGTCCTAGTTTTTCAGCTTGATCAATAAAAATAAAGCTTCAGTTGTACGGTATTATACAACATAAACATCCGACATCAATTGTGTCGACATATTTTTCTTGCCTCGAAAACATTCTACTGTTGTTTTTGAACAAAAATTCAAATACAACCCATAATCAGACAGATACAATAATAAAATATAGACAAAGTAACCATTTATAAGACTGTATTGAGAAAATATATTCATATTTGCTATATACAGAAGCTATTATAATGATATTTTGTATCACGCTTGCATTGCTGACAAGGGACGTAGGCGAAATAAGGGGGCGTACAGCACCAATATGGACAGGATATTGGTACATTTGAGTGATAATATAGCAATAAATGTTTGTGTAAGCTAAAGTCAAGGCTAGTGTATTCATAAATAGGCTTAAAATACTTTAATAAATGATACATTCGTATTGCCACCTACGTTGTATTGCACTTACGGTGTTACTTAACGGGAGACAAAACAGTTTGATTACTGATTTTTGTCATTGACTTGTTAAAATATGTGAAACATCACAAGCATGTCTTACAATGTCACATGTTAAGCAACAATGTTCGATAAACTTGAAAGTATTACATAGCGTAGTATTTTTACCCCTCTTGTCTAATTACGGAAATCTTACTAGAATTTAATTTCAAATTCAAATTACTTCATTGCGAAAATGGGTAGGTACAATGATTATTATGATATAATATACGTAAGTTTGGATGGATGTATATAGACCGGCCAAGGTCGGCCGGGGATCTCGGGGACTTCTTTTCTAAGGTGTAACTGAGGTGAGGTGATGACACTCTGGTGTTCCCACACCAAAAAAAAATTAAAATGGATCATCATCATCATCATGAGCCTATCGCAGTCCACGGACATAGGCCTCTCCCATTTCACGCCACCTAGATCGATTTTTTCTTCTTTTAAATCCATGTTTGTTACTAAATCACACCAGAACGTCTAAACGAATCTAAATGAAATTGGGCAGATTGATTGGTTATATATATTATTGGTCTGAAATGGCAAATTTTGCCTATTGTCAATATTACCAATTGTCTACCTATATTAACGCGACCGAAGTCGCTGGCAAAAGCTAGTTAAGAAATATAAGTTGTAAAATTTATTAAAAGTTGTGAGCTAACAATTTATAGTCAAATTTATTTTTTGCTTAGAGCTTGTACTATAGATAGTTCATGCACCAAATGCTACTTGACTATAACTTGAGCGGGACTCGAACCCGCGACATTTGGAATAGCAATCCGTTACACAAACCACTACGCCATCCGGTCGTCAAATATTATATAAATGTATAAGAATATACTCACAAAGCAATAATAAGAGAGCGTAAGAGAATATAATATCACACATTATTTATTAAATATACGTTCGTGAAGCCCATGTTATTCTAGCTATTAAACCGTAAAAGGTACTCTGTTAGGCGTTTTGCGATAAACGAAGTAAAGTAGATATTAATAAGACTAGAAGTGCCAAGGTTAAAGGAAATCGTGAACTAAATTTAGCGCATTCGTTAAACAAATTTTTGAGGCACCTCTTCAGGAATAATGATTTGTGTAGCGCACACGTGAATAACGACTTTTAAAATAAAAATACTACATATTTTACTTTAAAAATTTGAAATGTTTACTCAAGTATTGTTCAAACAAATTATGAACCCGATCTAAATCATATTTAAAAACATAGACCCATATGTTCAAACAAAATACTATTTGTATAAAACAATACACAATTATTGTCAAATATTTAGTCGCAATTTTTCAAACTAATTTTTAACCATTTTCGTAAGTCATCAACAGTTACTTGAATTTGAAATTCAATTACTGATATTTTCAAATGTAAACTTCATACAATGAGTAGGGTACATCATATTAAGAGCAATAATGATGATCAATAGAAATTCAATTTCTCCGATATGTTTAGGGACAAGGATGATTTATGCCCTAATTTGTACTTTGAATATTAAATAATTTATAGTCAATTAGTCACAGTCACACCGCACTACGGCGATAAATCAGAATAACTTTTAATTAACCATCGATATCATTATTCGGCTATTATGTCAAAGTTAATTAAGCCGTATCATTGAGAAATAAAATATAGCCACACTGTCTAATCCCAGATTCATTACCACCCCGCTTAGTAACACGAACAATCGGTTAATTTACATAAAAGAAAGCGTTCAATTCGGTTAAGCTCTGCGGTTAATCACAGGTTCAAACTTACTAAGCTACTAGCGGTCATTTGTACCCGTCGCACCAATAATTAACTCGGACAACGCGCGAGCAGTAAACGGTTAACTACCATTTAAATAACAGAATAATGAGAAAAAGAACCAGATTACTAAAGGTTAAGAGTCATATTTGTGTTTTGGTTACGTTTTTAGATTCAGTTAATAGATGGCGTAGGTGTGGTGCTTAGATATAATAAAAGGTAATGAACAACATTATGGCAACCAGTTAAACCACATATCTCGACTCACATAGTAAAAGATTCTTCCAGCTGCCGCCGAGAGCACGCAGGCAGCGGTGCAGACGAGGCGCTGGGGTAGTTGGCGGCGCGCGGGGAGGGATCATTCTTACGTCACCTTCGGATGAACTCCTTCCTAAAAGCGAAGATCCTCTATCTCTCGACAAAGACCGACGCCTACCAAAAGGAGCTCCTCGCACTGTCGCGAAATTTTCCTCACAAGTCACATTAAAAGTATCGAAAGGTATTCCATCTGACGCTTCCCTTCGACTCCTCACGGAGAATGTTCTTCTAAATCCGCTTGCTAAGCCCTCCATGGTTTTCTTTTTAGGCTTAGGAACTTCTTCAGAACTAATCACTGTTATGTCCTCCATATTTTGTTGGTCGTAGGTTCTATACCGAATTTGTTCTATTCCAGTCAGGTCTTCCATACCTCCATGTCTGTACTTCAATGGTTTAGCTCTGTCTATGATTCCAAGTTCATCATAGCTGCGATAAGTTGAAGAAGAACGCCTTGGGGTTGGCGGTCGTCCTGCACGGTCAATAGTCATATTACTCTGATGTCCGATCAGTTATCTGATGAAGAAATTATTAATTTGAGTTTCGAAGATAAAACGCTGGATCCTCTGAAATCCAGGCTTGCACGACGATTTTTTGTCCAGATTTCGGTATTTCTAAGTGAACAGCACACTTTGGGCAAGCGACACAACGACATCTAGTGAGGTGCTTAACACAATCTAGTATCGTGTTAGTGACTCGTCACGAATATGTTAATAATCACGTCTAAATATATCAGAAACATGAGCTACGAATTCATTAAGAAACGCGTGTTAACAACTAGTGCTAAATATTTTACATTATTTGTCTGTTATATTAACAGTAGAACACGGAAAAGTTTTAACTATGACCTACGCTTTTTTACCAAATGTTTTTTAAGTATACTAAGTGTTTAGATTTTTTAACTGTGTGTAATACGAGGCCTAATAAAAAAAATAGTTCTTTACCTAAATTTTCACAAGCGTTACAGCGTCGTTGGTGAACGTACGCGTAAAAGATACCGTGTTAAGTGCGTGTAAGGCAGCAGTAGAACTAAATGCCGTGACTGGTCCGACTTGTGAGGTAACCCATAACATGCCCATAAAATTTGTTTACCATCCCCTAACGCTGTACTGAACGCAAATCTATGGATGTGAACACGGAACGAAAACACCGTACGTTTAAGTCGGCCTAATTATAATGAAAATAAAACTTTTTTAAAAACTTGTCATGGTATTTTGCCGACTTTATGATTTTTGTTTCCGGAAATTTGGAACTGTCACATTTACAGTTGCTTTATTTAGATGAACGTGCCCGTAGTAAGTCAAAGTGTTACTTCATAATTTATAAAACATAAACTTTGTCCTTATGTTGCAAACAAATATAAATTTGTGGGAACAAAGAAATACGAGTGTATTTGTTTGTGCGTACAAACTTATGTTATGTTGTACTTTTGAGTCGAGACCATAGACATACACGTAAGAGTATGCATGTGTCTATGGTCTCGAGTCAAAAAGTAAACAGAATTTTCGAGTGATAAACACAGTACAAGTAGTGCTCGGCGGCAAATTCAAGTGGCTGATGACCGGTACATAATTAGGAACAATTGCACTCGACCACTCCTCGCCTGCTGTCCCTCGTCCTCGGAAACTATCCGATTAGTGAGACGGAATCCGAACAATTATCGAATTAGGAAACATTTCCTGCTGTTTATATAAATTGGGTTCTGTTTACTTCGTGTCTTGGACTACAATGAACGTTTTCGTGTGACATCTTTATATATTCAATGTAACGAAAGAGCAAATAGACTAAGTATATTTTTTATAACGAGATATTTTTAAAACCGACTTCACTCCACCTACACCATGATGAATTTCTATATACTATTCTCTATTCATTTCAAATTATGCATAAGAAGAATGTTGCGCACAAAGGCGAGCTTAACCCATAGTTGAGTTCTTTTTTAGATAACCAATAAGTGAAGAGTGGATTTATAAATAACCAAAGAAAGTCGTATGTACATAAAACTTACTTCGTTTTTATTCAAATTTCAAATTTGAGAGCGAGGGTACACCCCAATTAAATAAAAAAAAAAATTGTTTCGTAAATAACAGAGTTCTGGGGTAACAACCATAAACACGAATGAACCTGAAACCTTTTTTAAGTCCGTTAAAAAGTAGGTAGCCATCAACATTTCAAATTATTTGTTGTTTTATTCAAAGTTAAAGCTAAACAAGTTATGTGGAACTAGAATAAACTGCAACAGTTTTTTTATTATTTCAATTATATAATTTTAAAAGTTTCAATTATGAATGTTGATTATAAATTATGAAGACTCATCGAAATTACTTTCCGGCTCACAACACATGGTTAAGTAAGAAAACAGTAGAAATAAATTAATGATAGCCTTGCCACCAATTGCTCCCCCAACAAGACAATCAAGCGACTGAATGAAGTGATGTCAATTAGACTCATTAATGAAGCCTTAACGACGGTGCTGTCTCTTTTCTATTTGTGAAGTCATTGAATAAAAATCTAGTGAAGTAAATTATTTTGGTGATTGTCTAGCAGAAAAATATCTTGCAGCAGTGACTGGCTGGTGACGCTTTATTTTTCACTAGCTAAGGAATAACTTTTACCCGTTTTTGCGACATGTTTCATTGATGTTCAGTGAGTTCTACCAAACTAACAAACTCTTCAGTTTTATATTACAATTATGGATAGAAACACTTTAAGGCTGAAGAGTGTTAATAGCTAATTATTATGTTATATTTTTTATGTAATGTTGTGACATTTAAGTACAAACTCATACGATAATAATAATATTTATAGTAAGTACCGATGTAGTCAATTACTAAGGCAAACAATGAAACTGGGTGCCTGAAAGAGCTTAATTTTTAATGTATTATTAAATTTAATCGTTGAATAATCTAAGAAGACAATCTTGAATAATAAACAAAGATTTTTATAATAATATTACTTAGACCGTGGAGTTCAGAAATCCGTAACATAGAAAGCCAGGCTAAGTCAACTTTTAGACGTGGTTCTTGAAATCTAAGCCGTCTAGATCGCTGTAGTTTCTAACCGGATGTTGTATTTTAATAGTATTCACTTAAAATATAATAGTTAAATGTAGAATTTTTATTTCATATATGTAATTGCATCTCAGACAGTTGCACAATAGATAAAGAATAAAATAGCAAAAGTGGCTAAGACACTGAAGTTCTGCTGCGCATATTTTATTAATATCACAAGGCAGACAGACTATATTACTATTTTATGTTTTAAATAAGTAAGTTCTTTGCAAAAAACGTGTCTGAACGAGTGCACAGTATTTTATAAGCGTGAGTTGTACAAAAAACTTGTATAGACCTGTGTATCTTAATAACAAAGAACACAATTTCAGAATTTCGAATAAGAATTTTATAGTTATTTATACTATATATTACTATAATATAATATACAACATATTGAATGATTCATTTTGTATTGGAACATTTATTTATTGACCATTATGTTATATATAAACAAGAGGCAGATACGCCACCAACGCCCAATACGCGAGGGTCCTAATTAGGACCACTGCGAGCGAGCACGTACTAATTAATTCGAGAAAATTCATAAAATAATAATAATAATAAAAAAAATAAAATAAACTTTATTCTGCAAGAGAACAGCATACAACTTAATATAACTAACTTAATACTAACCTTATACAACTACAATAATATTACATTTTTTTAAAGTGCAACACTATACTACGCTATCTGTGGTTTAGTAGTCTATGAGACTGTGATCATATATGACGTGGCGCTGACGCGGTGATCACTATTATTTTTGGTACTATGTTTTGCCACATAGATAGCTTGTGCGGATGAGAGTTGTACGCTGTGTCCCACAGAATAGGTGGACCCTCAGCATTTACTGTGATGGACATGGTCCGTCCCAGTACTGATTTTCAGTGCCCACCAGAATTACTGATTTGACGCCGACAGCCGCAATTACCACTGGATATCTCTTATGTGCTGCTTGTGATGATGAAAATCATTTTCTGTGTATTCCGAAAGTGCACAAATTACAACAAAAAGGTAAAAACCTAAAGGGATATTATACCACAGGAAAGTGTATGTTTTGTTCTTAAATGCATAAATAGATGTATGTACGATTACGGAATAAATAAGGAATTTAATTTAATAAGGAAATAAGAATAAATAAGGAATTTTTAATTATGCGTGCAGTAGGAGTATAACATATCTTCCTTAAATATCATTGTTTATTAGGAATAATTTAGGTCATAAAACACTACGCTACAACCCTTAGGAAGGGAGCAGTGACCATTAAAGTAGGTGACTATAAAATAAAAGAATAATATTTTCACATTGAATGTGAGATGGACTATTTATGAGTGCTAACAGTAACTAAATTATGAGCATGTTCCACATATTAGTACATATGTAGTACAATATCACGATGCATGTACATATATTAGCTCTATATCACTATATGAACCTGTACACATTTATCACTATTAAGCGAGGTACAGATAAAAATTAAAAGATTGCATCACACGCCCACTCGGTCTACCATTACTGACACAATTTATCATGCTTTAACTGAGTAATACCAGTTTTTTAAATACCCATACTTCATTGAAATTGGTTCGTTTATCAGATAATGTCGAGTTTTCGTTCACCACAATTGGTGTCGTATCTCATCTTTATTTAATGAAATAAAATAATAGAAAACTCAAAAAAAAAAATTGTAACTCCTCTTTTAGGGGAAGAGAAGAAAATACACCTCAGGATACGGAGTAAAAATTAATAGAAAGTGTTTGAAAGTGAACTTGGAACAAAATATATTTAGTACTAATTTTTTTAAATGTGTGCGAAATAATATTTTATAGCTGGCAAAAACAAAAGTAAAGGTGGAACTTAAAGTGTTATTTTTATCTCGTGTTATTTAAATCGTTTTAGTCAGAACTAGAACTGCACATGCTGATTGTATGATGAGTAGTTTTTTTTATAGGAACAGGTTTAAACACCTCCCTTGTGTAACTCTTAACAACACAATGTAACAAATAGGTATTTAACCAGTTAAATTATAAAAGAACAAATAATATATTACATAAAACCTCCACGATGTCTTTAAAAATTAAAATGGCTTGAAAGTATCAAACCATTCAATTTTTTAAATACATCGTGGAGGTTTTATGCAATTTATTTCCTTTTATTTGAAAAACTTTCACTTTCAGCTATTATTGCAGATGCCCGATAATTGAAATAAATATTGCTGTTGTTATACAATCAATTGCAACTCAACATCGAAGACATTCAGCGTTCTAAGACTTAAAAAAAAATGCACGGAAAAAAAAGGTGGTATCTGACGTAGCAGACAAAAGTATAGCTTTATTCTGCCTGATCCAAATTGATCTTGTCCATCGGAAAATCCTAAAAAGTATGATATTATCAAAAGTTTATAAAAGTTTCATTGATATCAGGTTCTAATTGGACAATGA